CCCGATGTCCCTGTGTCTACCCGCACCACGCCGCCTCCACTGCACTTGCACCGACCATACCACGGCCCGCTTAGCCCGACTTCACCGCCACCTAAGGTATAACCACTCTTTCTTTGTCCCGGTCATGTATCTCCACGTAACCCGATTAAGTGTCTCCCGTTCGAAAGAGATACGGTTAGAAATATGCAGATCTTTGCATATCAATAACCGTATCTGTTTCGAATTGTCCACGTTTTTTGGACAGCCCGAGGATGCGCAGATGGTGTTAGTTTCCATGGTTTGCTCTGATCCGAGATAGAGTTTCGACAGTACCTTCCTGTTGTTCTCCGGATACACAATCTCCCTGTCGGGACATGTATTTGGAGAACAAATGGGGAGGTGCTACCAAATTTCGCTTTGGATAGAACCGCACCATGGGAACTAACACCATCTACGCATCCTCGGTGGGATTATGACCTATCCTTACGTATTAGATGGTAGGAACGACGTGTAGATGCAAGTCCATGGTTATATTTATTACTTGGTGATATATATGTTAGAGGATGGATGACCGTGAGTGGATGTACTCGGGCGCGGAGCACCCGTGAGATTACCGTGGAGAATGGGTCGACAAGACCGAGGCTTTCATCAAGCAAGTATTTGACCAGGCTCCCGAGCGCGGCGTGCCATTTTTTTGTCCCTCGCATCAACTGTAAGAACAAAAAGAGGCGGACAAAGGAGGTGATGACTTCACATCTAGCTAGGCATGGATTTACACGAAAAACTATACCCAGTGGACCCACCACGGTGAAGCGATCGTGTGAGAGAGGAGGTGGTGAGACCACGTGTCGAGGATTCAAATGCCATTGGTTTGATCCTCAAGAAACGAGACGAAGTCCTTCCCTTGGGCTAGTAGAAATTCGACAGGATTCCGTCTATGGCGGAAAGGATGTCTATATTGTGGCTCAACAGGCCACACAAGTTTATTATCTCCCCTACTCGTGCCAAAGGGACCCTCGTCTTCAGGGTTGGGATATTGTGCACAAGGTATCGCCGCACGGTAAAGCACCTTCCCCAAACGCCGAAGACTACAACTTCGACCCAAACACATATGATGGAGAGTTCTATCAAGAAGAGGGCCTACAAGGGACTTTTGAGATTGACTTAACCGGAGCTATGGAAATGGAAGTAGACAATGAAATGGATGTTGATGTGGACGAGGGGGATGAGGTGGAAAATGCGAAGGACTTGGCGTTACTTGAAGGATTACATATTGGCAATGGCAATGATGACATAGTTGCTCCTTTGGAAAGTGTTGAACATTTCGACATGGCTGATAGTGATGATGAGAGCTATGATCCATCTAATCCCGATAGGGATGATTATTTCTAATACATGTAATATTATGTTATTTTTTAATTATGCTTTATTTATTTTGCATCTCTTTATAATAATGTCTTGTTTATGATCCATCTAATCCAATCTTATTGTTTATGTCTTGTAGGTGATTGTGCAAAGATGGCGGGCCGTAGAGCTTTGCGGGCGGTCAGTCGCGCTTCACGACACGGGGCGAGACACCAGGGGCCCTCGGTGAAGCTGGGGTCGGCACCACCTCGGGGGAGGAGGAGGTGGGCGGGAGGAGGCCTAGGGCGCCATCGCCACAGCCTGCAGCAGCAGCAGCACTAGAGCCCGAGGAGGAGCGGGAGGAAGAGCAGGTGGACGAGCAGGCTCAGCAGGGAGAGGATGAGCTGCAGGCTGAGCAGGAGGCCGAGCAGCTGGATGAGCAGGAGGAGCGGGAGGCCGAGCAGGAGGCCGAGGCAGGAGGTTCTAGTTCCACCGAAACCTCGTGTCTCTACTAACGAGTCCCCGTGAGCCTACCGAGCGGCCGATACCTGAGGCTCTACGCCCGGTCATTCGACCCGTTGGGCAAAAGTACGTAACTTTTACATTTTTTTCGCTCCTACATATGATAGAATCACAATGGAAACTAACAGTTTTTTCTTAATCACTTACGCAGGTCTTGGAAGGTCGTGGTCCTAGGTGCTCACAAAATGTTGCCCAATGGCATCCTGGGTCTTCTCTGCAGGGAACACTTCCCAGGCTTGGTTCGCTACGCTGAAGCTCTGGAGCCGGCCTACACTGACGCACTCTACGCCGCCGCCTCGATCACGGAGGATTTAGACGGGCCGCACGCATTTAAAGCGTGGCGGAGCGGGTTATGTGCAGGTTTTGGGTAAGTCTTCCTCCCACTACTTTGCTCAATACATTGCATTCGCTAGAGTTTCTTGAACCAGTGTATTGATACATCTTTTCTATATGCAGGACTTCTTCAAATGCGCCAAGGGCTACGAGGCGAGGGCGGCCAAGGCGTCAGCCAAATCTTTTAGAGGTTGCATCTCAGACATGCATTACAAGGCGTGGCTCTAGGCCATCATCGATTACTATGCCATCTACGAGCATCGGAAGGTAAAGAAAGAAGATGCAAGATTAATGCATCTGACCAAAGAGAAGTACCTGAAGGTAAATATACAACATCAATATTGATTTCTTCTGATATTGGGTAGGCTTGAATTGTTCTTATATTTGTCAATGTACTTGATGTCGTACAGGTGCCTCCTGGCTGGTGCGCCAATAAAACGCAGGCCTGGCAGATGATGGTCGACAGGTGGGTGAGTGGCAATTGGGCGGATAACCACACCGTCCTCCGAGAACGACGTTTGCTGATGCCAGGTGTATCACACCACCAGGGCAACCTTAACATCCACGAATTCGGGGCTAGATGGGTACGTGACTTGGTGTAGCTTCATTTATTCTTTTAGACGTTTATTCCTGCATGATTTATAATCGTCTTATTGTTTTTCTCGCAGTCGGCTGCACATCAAAACTAGCCATGCGGAGAGCTCAAGTCATGGGTTCTGGCCCACAAGGGCAAGGCGACAGACAACATCAACTGGAACCCGGACGACCCAGCCGAGTCGTTCACCAACGAGAGCATCCCCGAGCGCATCAGTCAGTACACCGAGGCGGCAAGGGGAGTCATGGGACAGACTGGGATCCGCACACCGTGGACATTGACGGCGACATCGTCATGAGGGTGGGAGGAGGCAAGAAGCATGGGCGGTACCTCATCGGCAACAGCACGCTCGACCCGCACACCACTCCCACTCTCTCACACAGTCCCGGACGAAGCAAGCATGAGCGGTAGTGTGCCCATATGCCCAAGGCAGACACTTGACGCATCGTGTGGCAAAAGACACTACAAAGTTATTTCTGTTTTATTAAATCGCTCATTGGTTTTACATTCCTCGAAATTGCTTGTAACAATGCGGTGAAAAATTATAGGCCCAGGTGCATGCGCTCGAGGAGCATAAGGCTAGGGTGGAGGAAGAGCGACAGAGGGAGCGGGAGGCCGAGCGACAGAGGTGGGAGGCCGAGCGGCGAGGTTTGACGCCTTGGCTCAAGACGTGGCAAGTCTTGGCGTCACGATGGGTCGTCCAGCGCCACTAGAGCTGTTCGCTCCTCCACGGCCTTACCCATACCCACCTTACTCATACGTGAGTTCAACTTCTCTAATAAAAGCTCTTTACTGTGCATGTCAGCCATCGTGCCGTTGATATGTGATGGGAGGCCTTCATGCCGTTGATATATATGTGTGCCGGCCATCGTGCTGTTGATATGTGGTGGGCGGCCATCGTGCCGTTGGTTTTCTTGCAGGTTTTGGAAACCCCACCGTGCAGGGGAGGTGCTGCCGAAATTTTGATGTGTCTAGGCTTAGATTACAATTTTATACCTAGTTCTACAAATTTTGACTTGTCTACGCTTAAATTACAATTATATGCCTTAGTATTACTATAATTACTAATTTTTCTTCTCCTTTGTGCAGAATCAATCGGTGGGTTCGAATGATGTGCCTGAGCAGCCGCCGTCGGGAGGGTCGTGGCACCAACCGTATCCACAACTTCCGCCGCATCAAGAGCCGTCCGGGAGGGTCGGGTACCAGCCAGTATCCACACCTTCCGCCCAGCAGCAGAGCGCAAACCGTCGGGAGGGTGGGAGCCTTGGGGTGAGCCTGTTGTTCTTCATCATGTATTAGCACTTTGTGATATGAACTTGTGTGAGATGAACTTAGCACTTTGAGATGGACATGTGTTGTTGGATTTGAGATGTTTAGATGGATTATAATGTGGGACATGTGATGTGGATGACATATTTGTGATATATGTGATGTGGATGATGTGTTATATTTGTGAAATATGTGTTGTTGAAGCTGGAAATATAAACAAAAATAAAAAAATGCTCTCTGGACTCTTTGCCGAGAGCCTAGCTCTCAGCAAATCTGCCTCTTTGCCGAGAGCTTGGTGGTCGGCTCTCGGCAAACCTATTTTTTTTTTGAAAACCACCTCGGCCGCAAATCTTTTTTTTAACAATTCTTTGCCGACGGTCGCTCTCGGCAAAGAAGTTCTTTGCCGACGGTTGCTCTCGGCAAAGAAGCTGTCACACCGTTAGCGGTCATTTGGCCATTACTAGGGCACGCCAGTTTGCCGAGAGCTAGAGTTTGCCGAGAGTCTTGCCATTACTCTCGGTAAATATTTTGCCGAGATGGGCTCTCGGTAAAGAATCCTTTGCCGGTAGATGTTTTGCCGATGGCTCTTTGCCGAGAGCTGCTCTCGGCAAATTGTTGACTGCAGAAGCGAAGCATCAAGTAGTCAAGGACGGAGCGAGGATGGCAAAGCAATTGGCGGAGCTGGTGCTCGAAGGTGGTGATGACACCGTGTGGAGGTTATTGGCTGAATTCTGGTCGGAGATGATGCTGTATGTCGCACCGTCCGACAACCTCAAAGGGCACAAGGAGGCAATCGCCAGGGGCGGCGAGCTGATAACACTGCTCTGGGTGCTGCTCTTCCATACCGGGATCATCAGCAGGCCAGGCGAGGCTCTGGGCATATTATTTCAATTTCAGCATGATAAAAAATACTCCTTGTTTATATAACCTTGATATTTTGGAAATGAGCAGGGCAATCATGGCTGGTGGGAATTCAACTGGAGACCACTGCTCCTATGATGCACTCAAACAATGCTCCTCTCGGATTATATGCGACGGCCAATCCCTGTCCTTGTTCCACAAGAGCTTGAGACACAGGTTGTGGCTTGTGAATGCTCTGTTGGTCGCCAGCGCCATCATGGCGGGAGTCATAGTCGGGATAGGCGTCTTTGGCCAACGTTACCGCTACCACTGCCTCACCAGGTTCATCTTTGTTGGAGCCACTACCTTGTTCTTGCCTCTCATGTCCACCGTTGTCCCCTTGGTTGCTGGATCAAACGACTATGTCACAGACACAGAGGAGGGGCGGTTGGCTGCAAAGTGCGAACCAGAATTTCAATCTACCATGGTCATAATATGGGCATCCCTTGTTCAGATAATCATGATCAATACCAGTGCAATAGTCGCTGTTGATGACAGAGAAGGTAGAAACATAGGTCCTCCTTTTGAGCTGCTTTTTCAGGGGGCCTGGACAGTTTACCTTGGTATCACCTATCTGATCAATACTGCCGTTGGTGGCAGAATTCAAAGCAGAGAAGACCTCGAATTTGTTCTGATTATTACTGGAATTGAAGGGATACCTTTTGCTCTCACATGTGCCAAAATGGTGTCCAAATATTATGCATTTGAAAAGGCACGGCGATCCTTTGCTCTCGGAAACAATCCTCATCTTATTTTTGCCTACATGCAGCAACCACCACCGGTACAAGCAGGGACAAGTCACCGTAGAGAATCAGCAGTAGTAACTGATGAGGATGCTCCTCCACCTCCACTACTGGTTATGGGAGAGGGGAAAAGATACATGGAGAAGCAGTCTCATGGGTATGTATGGAAGGGTGACTCAGGCACACCTGTGCATGGAAAAGATGGCCTGGTAACCATTGATAGTGTTTGGAAGATGACAGCCTGCTTCTTTCCATTCTCAACACTGCAACGACTACAAGACTTATGCTTGTCCTTTGCATTCTTCAAGTTGTTGCGGTGCCGGTTTGCAAGGTACAATGTCAACACTGCTAATGCCTCGATTGACATGTTCACTTTTTTCTGGAGGTTGCTCCTCAAGGATGGAGACCACAACAGGGTGTTTCAGGTGATTTCGGATGAGATTTCTTTTGTTCATGACTATTATTACACATCCATTCCGATCTCCTATTCCAAGTGCTGGTTGCCCATCGTGGGTATCTTTATTTCACTCTTGAGCATAGCTTATTGCATCTTGGCTGCAATGTGGTTCAGCTACCTTTTAGTTGGAAATACTAGTTCCGTACCTCAGCTTTGGTGTGGCATCAGTTGCACTGAAAATCAATTGCAAACACAAGTGGACCCAAGAGGGTATGGAAGCTGGCTCTTTGTTCTCGTGCCACTATTTTTCCTTCTGGTGCTAGTTTTGATTGTTGAGGTGAGGGACATAGCTTCCTACATCTGCTCTGACTGGACCAAAGTAGCCCTCGTGTGTCGCCTCCTAAACTGTGCCGCCTCCTCCTCCTCGAAGCATTCTCTTTGCATCCAGAAATGTGCTGGCGTTTTGCTCCGCTACAGATGCAAGTTATTGAGGACGCAATGGGATGAGAAAATTGGCCAGTGCTCAGTATTGATGCTTCAGCCAAGAGCAACCCCGCTTGGTCTTCTCTGGCATCTTTTCCCCTTTTTACCAGACCAGAACAGGAAGGTCAGGGTGCCAGCAGCAGTGAAGGTTAGCATCATCCAAGCGCTAAGAAGAACTAGAGATGATGGAGGACAGCTGAGCAATGGAGCAGCATGTCTCCACCGCCGCCGAGACCAGGTTGGTGAAAGCTTCAACTGGGCTTGCAGCAACAAGAGTACATCTTATACCATACTCACATGGCACATCGCCACAAGCATACTTGAGGTCAGGTACCCACACCTGCAGCATGTTCAGAAACAGGATTCCTTGCCACTTTCCAACACTGATTACAAGATGGTTGCCACCCACCTATCATGGTACTGTGCGTACCTCGTGACATGGTGCCCTGAGCTGCTTCCTGACGACCATGAATGGAGCAGGAGCCTGTACGAGGATGTCAAGAAGGACGCTCGGCGTGTCCTTGCCAGCTGCACAGCAGGAGACTCAACGACGCCAGAATTGGTCGAATTGTTGAGTGCAGAAGCGAAGCATCAAGTAGTCAAGGACGGCGCGAGGCTGGCAAAGCAATTGGCGGAGCTGGTGCTCGAAGGTGGTGATGACACCGTGTGGAGGTTATTGGCTGAATTCTGGTCGGAGATGATGCTGTATGTCGCACCGTCCGACAACCTCAAAGGGCACAAGGAGGCAATCGCCAGGGGCGGCGAGCTGATAACACTGTTCTGGGTGCTGCTCTTCCATGCCGGGATCATCAGCAGGCCAGGCGAGGTCGACCGCAATGCTGCTACTTCTGCTGCCGGTGTGGTTTAGTGGAGTCTTCTCCTATTATTACTGACGCATGCTTTAATGCTTCAGTTTTCTTCTTGTTTTGGATTCTTCAGATCGTGGTGTGCTGTGCGGACGTGTTTCTGTATGCTAAGTGCATTTGAGTTGCCCCTTTTCTGAATGATGTTGTCGACCGCTGCTGATGTGATCTGTGTATATCATGGTACTCTTGTCTTGCGTATCAATTGTAATAACTAGTCTGTTTGGTGTCCTGCCTGTAATAATATTTTGGTAATAAAGACTCTTAAGATTCACTAATAATTCAGATACAAATTGTTTACTGTCTCCACGCGTACTGTGTGATGATCCATGTATGTGTAGGCTTTGGTACAGATGACTTGCATGGTAGAATAACCTTTGATGAGTAAGTGCCAAAGAAAATTTCAAAACTGCATGCATGTGGATGTTGGTTTAGTTTTTTCATCTGGATTTTGTAGCCAATTAAATCATGAGGCCACCATGCCCATGACAGTGATGGCTCATGCCTATCTTTATCTGTTTCCTATGGGCCAATTGCCGCCGCTTCCGTTGCATGACCAAGCAAATATTGTCTCGGGCATCTCCTTGTCCTAACGGGCCAACAGAGAACACGCTCGCAAATTCGGAAAAACAATCCCTTTAATTCCTTGAACTATTGCCATAGTCTAATTTCTTTTTCAAACTTCACAAATGGACATCGTACCCCCTCAACTCTTAAAAAACGTTTCAATTACTTCCCTGCTCCATTAGAATTTCTTCTCAGGAGGACAGTTTGGTACTTTTTTTGTTCTAAAAATATGATAAGGTTTTTTAACAATGAAAAATACCTCTAAGCTTCTAAAACTTTGAGAGAAATATTTTTGTAAGATTGGTACATGAAAACCCCAGATAAAATATATATAAACCCAAATAAAATATTGAGGGCTAATGAAAATTACTTTAGTAGGTTCCAAAAGATTATGTATAGCTCAAGAAAAAGAGAAAATATCCAAATAAATCTGAAAATTTTCAAAACATTCTAATTGGTGTCCAAATGTGTTTAAAGAACTTCCTATAACAAAAATATGAGATGCAAAGAACAAGAATGCAACATAAATATAATGCTAAATGCATTTGTGCTGGTGATATTGCCTTCATGTTTTTTCTATAGAAATTTTTGAAAACGTGTTTAGACATCAATTAGAATATTTTTGGAATTCTAAAGATTTTTCTATTTATTTTCTATTTTCCTAAAAGGTAAATCAATTTTTGGAAAGGTTTTAGAGCTACTTTCACAACCTCCAAATATTTTATTGGTTTTTCCTATTACAATCTATCTCAAAACTTTTAGAATAGTAGAGATATTTTTGTGGTTTTAAAGTCTTATATCAGGCATTTATCACCATTTTTAACTAGGATAGGGAGGTAATTTAAACGATTATGAGAGTTGAGGGGGTAAGATATGTGGTTTTACAGTTTTACGAGAAAAATAAGAACACAGTGATAGGTCAAGGAATTGAAAGACTCTTTTTCCATCGACTTCTGGCTCTGCTCTTATTTTTTGGGACCAATATGGCCCAACGTCCTATCCCAACAAGAATCATCATAACCCTTCATGTCCCATGTGCCCGCCACGCTTCTAGAGAAGCACCCACCAGCATTGTTGCTAATGTGAAGTGTAAACTTCTCTTGTCGCACACTGATCCATTTTCTTCCATTATTGCTACCGTGTGCGGGCATCAACACGAACGAGCAAACCTGTCTGTATATGTTCTATTTTCCCTTTTTTGAGCCGACGCCTGTTTTCCCAACAGATCAAGCAAACCTCTTTTCTATAAGTTCCTATTTACACACTTCCCATATTAAATGATGTCATCAATTTTAAATTCGCATATAAATTGAACTTTATATGAATGAAGATTTCAGAGGCAATTTGTAATACTCGATCAGTCTATTAGTGTTGTGGTTTGGACCTGTTGTGTCCTATGTGTTCTATTCTGATGGAACTTCCCCCACCTTAATAATTAGGAAAGCTTATAATGCTCATCGCTTCGAACATAACATCTCCGAGTTAACTCTTCGACACGAAGCGACGACAAAAGTATACAAGAGGTGATGCACATATGCAAGCTCGTTCCACGTGAGTCGTGAGAGATGGGCCATTCTGAGTGGAGATTTTGGATATTCGCCAGATATATTTGTTTTACATTTGCCATTACTAACCTAGAATACTTTCATTTCCTGCATCCAGAGCATGGCCTTGATTTGCTACCTCTTAAAGTGCGCACCAGTGATTTTTTCGATCTTTGTGCGTCGGCAAAACCAGCCATAGTTAATTCAGGAAAAGGCATACAACTAGCTTTTCAGATTATTGAGAAATGTAAACAATTGCATGATTTATTTCAGAATATAAATAATGACGAACTCAGATACTAGCATGTATAACCCGAGCATATTAGTTGAACAGAACAACATAAATGTGAACACAACATGGTCAAAAGAGTAGGGATACTAAAACAACAAATTAGATTACATCATACATACCTTTAGTTTATGGAGACATTGTGGCTGGTGATGGAAGATCATTGACTAGTGGTGGTGGAGCAACGTTATTGTTGAAGATAGGTTGAAGCAGCTGGCGGTGGAGACGACGTGCCGACACAAGATTTGGAAGACAAGCCATCTTGGTAGTTTGCAACAGTCATACGAAAACGCTTCCTAAAAACCTTATTTATCCTCTCGTGGTGTAGGATCACAAGGATGAGTGGTTCTGAAGACCAAAAACTAAGCAACAAAAGAGGCGAAACCCTAACTCAAATAAGATGTTTTTCAGGTGTTTGTTGTTAGGTTGTTTATGTAGGCAAGTCCCGCACGATCTTGTGTCGTGATCACAATCTAAACCGATTGGGTTTTGAATTCGTAAACGGTCAAGTAACTAAAAACTAAGGACGTGTTTAGTTGCTGCCATTGCATGCCACACCACAGTTGTGGCCGCACCAAAACTGCAGCGACCAAATTGTTCACCGCAACTATGGCAGCTTTTGACACACAAATTGAACTAGAATGCGATTGCTAGGTTGGGGCATGCCGCAAGTTTGAAATGGAACAAAACGCATGCCGGAACTTGGGCGTGGTGCGGCATGTTTGGGTAGCCAACCAAAGGCGCCCTAGAACTATTAAATGGAGGGCGCAAATCATTCATGCAAATGTCACGCGCGCGAGGGGAGCACATATGGGTTTCCTTTCTCTCTCCCCACACTAAACTTTAAAGGAATGGAGATGTTTTTTATATTTAAGTATGATGACCTGCGATTCAATTAGTAAGGTGGGACTAAAGATCTCCCACCTCCCCTATAGGCACGCATGAATGGATCTTTGAAATTTATTTGGAACAGTTGGAAAGTCTCTATTGGGTCAAGCCCATGCACATATAGATGCATATTTGATATATTCTAGCAGTTGCATATCTATATCTACGCTAATAATAAAGAGGCAAAATTTATGTCTATGTTTTTGTCTGGCCTCTTTTTTTGACTGGCCCAACTGTCCCACTCACTCGCTTTTGGCCCTTCTGTGGCCCACTCGCTCGTCGTGGACGATGCTCTCCCGTTATTAAAAAAAGTCATGTCCCCCGGTGGCTGAAGCTCACAGTGCTCAGCCCCGTCCCCTCCCACGCTGCGGTGGCGCCACTACATGATGTCGCACGACTCCGCCGTGAGCCTCCTCGCTCCATGTAGCACGCCACGTCCGACGTTGGCATGGATGCCGACGCGCAGATCGTCGACGCACGGGCGGCTCTCTCGCCGCTGCCCGCCCAGCCCGCCGCGTTAGCTGGCATTGGCGGCACCAAATTTTGCCGGCTCTGACTCGCTCATGGCTCCTGTCCCAAATACAATACAAATACATATTCAAATCAGACTACTTCAATAAGGCAATAACTCCTCAAATCAAACGAATAACTTCACTGCTACCTCGATAAAACAATGACTCCTCAAATCAAACCAATAAATCCATTATTTCTTCTTCCTCTATTCTGAAACAAAACAAAGACAAAATATGGAACTCACCGGTGGGTGGGCGCTGGCGTGCGGGAGATGCCCGATTTGCCCCCTTGCGCCCTACATATCGTGGCGTAGCGGCGACACAGGCCGGGAAGAGGGAGCTCCAAGCACCACCTGGGGCCACGCCTGCTTGTGGATCAGCGACGATGCCCAACAAGAACAGCAACGCGCGCATCATGCGCGGATCCCGCGCGTGCTCTTCTCGGCCTGCGGGGCTCCACGGCGTCGTTGTCGAAGTGCTCTTCTCAACCTCCGCTGCAGGGCTCCTCTATGGCGTCGTCATCGAACGGCACGGCGCGTCCGTGGCCTCGTGTCCTGCTTGTGGTGCGGCGGTGGTTGGAGGCGTGGGAGACAGGGAGAGGATAAGGTGGAGTCGTGTGGCACCTTGGTGGTGGGCTGCTGGTGTACGAGAGAATAAAAGATGTTGAGAAAGAGAATATATAATACGTTTCAAGAAAAGAAAAGGGAAAAGAAAAAAAGTATTATAGATATTTCTTTTTTTTTCAACAACTAGATGAAGCTGTTTTACCAGACGCTTTTCTAACTACAGAAGCTAGAGAGAAAAAAAAGCTATTTCACCGGAGAAGCTCAAGGTGGAGCTGCTTTGGCTAAAGAAGGAGCTTTATCAAACACACCTTTGGCGTTCACTGACGAGAGAGAAGGCTGCAGTCTTGGCACCCGTTTTTTTTGCCCACACAACCAGCGTCGTGCGATCACCGTCCACCCCTCCCAGGACCAGCGGAGCTCCCCAAGTTCACGTTGTTCATGACCTGCTCTAGCTCTTCTCCAGCAGCTCCTTCTATGGAGGGGAGGAGAGGGATCCTCGCAGAGATAGAGAGTGGGGTGGGGTGGGGGGAGAATGAGTGTGCGTGTTGTATGTGGCTGACAACAACCACGAGACAGAAGATCCAGAAAAATAATGAGAACACGTATGCGAACAGGAGGCCTGGGTGGCTAGGTTCTTTA